AACAATTTTTTAAATAAATTTCTAAATACAAAAATTTTTGTTCAAGATATAATTAATAATGATGATAAAGCAATAATAATAGAAGAAACCCACTGTCGAGCTCATAGAGGATTAGAGGAAAATTATAAACAAATCACAAATTGCGAAATTTGCAACACAAATAAATATAACAGAAATCCAATACAAATTCCTATTGGAGAAACTCCCATTCCCAAATCAGAAGGGCAGCATTTACATATTGACATTTACTACGCACAAAGTCTTACCTTCTTAACTTGCATTGATTCCTACTCCAAATACCTAGTGGTAAAAGAAATCACTAACAAAAAGAACATTGACTGCAAAGTATATGAAATTTTACAAACATTCCCATTAGTAAAAACAATTATGACTGACAACGAGCCGAGTTTCACATCGGCACAATTTAAATCATTCCTAAAACGTTCAGGTATATCCATTCATTATTCAGACCCTAGACATAGCCTTTCGAACGGACAAGTCGAAAGAGTCCATTCAACCTTAACTGAAATAGCTCGCTGTATTAAAGACGAATACCGCCTCTTAGATTACTCTGAAATTATTATAAGAGCTGCAAAAAATTATAACATGACAATCCACTCAGTAACAAATCAAAAACCCTATGATATCCTATTTAACAAAATAGATCACAGCGATATACCGCTACAATTACAGATAGCACAATCTAAAACATTAGATTATCATAACAAAAATAAATTAGAAAAAAATTATCATGTGGGAGAAGTAGTTTACGAAAAAATACACGGAGAAAGAAACAAATTAGGTCCCAGATTTAAAAAACAAGTCGTTCAGGAAAATTTACCCAATAAAGTAATAATTAATAATAGAAAGAGAGTTATCCATAAAGATAATATTAAATAATCTATACTTTACAGACGATGGAAATCACATTCGTACTCACCATTCTAATCACCATTTGTCACTCGGAAATTATTGACTACACAAACAATGAATACTTATTGCTAAAAGACGAAAAAGATGTAATGACGTACAATTCATTTGAGGACCTATTCCACATTACGAACCTTAGTTTTTATAGAGAAATAATTAGAGTTGAAGATAACATTACTAATAGCAGCAAAAACTCAGACTTAGAATGGGATATTTCACAAAACCTAAACAATATCAAAATCCTTATGTCCCAACTATTACCATCCAGAAATAAAAGAGGTATTAATGAATTGGGCACAGCATGGAAATGGCTCTCAGGTACACCAGACCATGACGACTTAACAAGAATCGAAAACAAAATTAACGAACTGACAGAAAACAATAACAAACAATTTACAATAAATTCACGCATATTTCAAGAAGTACAGCTTATGACAGAAATTCTTAACACAATCGTTGTTAAAAAAGAATCAAAAGTAAGACAACACCGACTACAATTAATCACACTTGATATTCAAAATTTAATCGATACAATCACTTTAGCAAAAGCAAACATTTTAAACACAAAAATATTAAATGAACAAGACATTAAAGAAATATTTAGACACGAAAATAAACCAGTTGTACTAACAGATCTGTTAGACATCTCCACTTTTAAAATAATAAAAAACCAAGACCTACTTATAATATATATAAGATATCCAATTATAAATAACATCTGTAGCTTATATACATCAAGGGCAATTGCCCAAATAAACGGAAAATTAATAATAGACGATAAGACAGCACACTGTAATGGAATATTTTATAAAATAACAAACTTTAAAGAAGAAATATTCAATAATTATTGTAAACTCTCAAACGAGAGCTCTTGTTTCACAAATCTCTTAAATGGAAAAAAGCAAACTGTTCAAAAATACGAGAAAAAAATAAACAATTGGAAAACTTAGATGATGGCGCTATTCTCATCACCGGAGAAAATACTGTAAACGAAATCAAATTAAAGGGCGCATTTCTGATTTTATTTAATGAAAGCATAATTATTAATAATATAAATTACATCAACGAAAAACAGAGAATGTTAGATTACATATCCCAATACAAATACAATAATTATATAATAACGGATTACATATTTTCTAATGATTCCGAATTAAGTCTAGATAATATAAACATTATTAACCCATTTGTAAAATTAGGAAAAACAAAAATATCCCTGGAATTAATATTGTTAATTTTTATACTTACCCTTTTAATCATATATAAATCACGCAAAATCATACCCAAAGTAATAAAACAAATTCAAATAAAATGTACCAAAACCCAAAAAGAAATAGAAATTCCAAAAGCTGAAATCACAACTGAAACTGTAACAGAAAACGAAACTGAAAGAAATATTGAAATAACATTTACAGAACTTAATAATAGAATATCCTCCCTCGCCGCACAAATGTAATGAATCGGGACGATTCATCTTAGGAGGGGGAGAATTAACTAGAAGTTTAATCTATATTAATATTATAAACAATTATTTCTGCACTTCCCACGAGCAGTGAGTTCCCACGAGCTCTTACACATTTATCCCCACACTCGCACCTACAACACAAACGGCAAGCCAAGCTTGAGTCAATCATAAACATAAACAAACTTCGGTTCTAACTTCGAAATTATCTTCGGAATTAACTTCGGAAAGTTCTTAGGGAAGCTTGGAAAGCTTCAATCCCGAGACGACAAGGAAGACAATTAACTCAAGCTTGGTCAGTCGTAAATTAGCCTTAAGTTTATCTGTACGACAATTGCAAAAGTACTTTAAATAAAATATATATTTTTATAAAACTTCGGTACGATATTTATAATTTGCACTCATACATATTCCCCTACATACTTCTTCATAATAAAAAGATTATTCTTATTCTGTACTCCAAGCTAAACGGTCGTTTATTTGCAAGCCTTCTTTCCAGCGTTTGAAAAAGCGATAGCCATATACGAGATCTCCTCTACTCCCTCGGTTACGAGACTGTAACTCGTGCTTGTCTAGATGTCGGATGGTATTGCCCGACTATCTAGCCTTAAACTAATGCTGAGGGCAGCCTGACGACAGGCGAGCACCACCTTACCACGCCTCCGCCTATTAATGGTGTCATTTACATGCTGCAGCCACATGCAGTTACCTGCGAAGGGCGACGATAAATAATACCGCGATTTTTGTTTCCATCGGAGAAAAGTCGGTAGTTAATCGGTGCTCTTAGTTTTCTTTTGCCGTCGAAATCGTAAATAAATTATACGCCCTGATTGATCAACTTTTCCCCGATGACAAACATAAAGGGGATAGCAAGCGGGGACGCTGCACTGTCATTGTGGCCGAAAATGTCGAGGCAGCCGCTCGTAAACATAAATCCAAGTGACGCTAATTGTTTGTTGCAATTACTGCTGCAGTTGTTGCCACCGTTCAGTTACGTGTGCAGCCAGCGTCGAGGCGACAGGACCTGAAAGGGTCGATGTGGCAGGAAGAGGGGTTGTGTTTGCATGCAAATTTTGTTGCATCTGCAGTTGCTGCTGATGCTTTCGCTGTTGATGCTTCTGCTGCTGCTGCTGCAACGGCAAACAATTACTCAAACATTGTTGCAACTGCTGCTGATATTGTGGATGTTGTTGCTGTTGCTGCCGCTGCTGCTCGTTGTGCGTGTTAAATGGCAACTACTCTGGCGGCTAATGATAATCACTCGATGTCCTCTGCTCCTGTCGATTTCTACTTAGTTTAAGCTGCTTCGTGTTTGGCTTTTATCTTCATTTTAGCTCTTTGTCAGCAGCTTAAACAGAAAGGTTTTCAGAGCTTTGATTTAATTGAATGTTGCTTTAGCAACCTGAGAATTAGAAAATTTAAACTTTTCGAAAATGCAACAATGCATAGCAAAGGGCTCTTAATTTGTATAAGCTCATTTAAATTTTTGTTTTTTTTTTTTAATTGAAGTAACTTGTCTCTGTAAACATGATGCAGCTGCAAAAGCATGCAATCCCTTATTTCTAGCCCCCTCATTTTGATATTCAGCAGATAATTCCTACTATCGCACTCTTTTTTTTCAGAAAAACTTATACGGCTTTGATACGACTTTATACGGATCTTTTTTACCTTTAACGGATCATCGCTAAACTATGGACAAGAGAATCTTCGACGATTACTTGAACTCGGTGGGATCTGACGAGAGCATCCTGTCCGTGATCGAGCCCTCCACTGAAGGTATGCTGACAGGGAAGTCTTGCAAGGCCAAGAAAAAGCCTACATGTGCCCGGAAACAGAAGAAGTGCTCGAAGCTTAAGAAGACGTGCAAGTCAAAACTATTAACTATTATCAAATTCATCAAATTTAAATACCCATTTGATGTAAAACATGCCCACAATTTTTATGCAAATGCTTCGGATGTCATTAAAATATTTTGATCCAATGGCAGCCGATACAGCCGTTCATAAATTTGGAATTACTCGCAGTGTAACAATGTTTATTGTAATTAATTAACAATGTTTATTGTTTGCACAATATGCAAGAGTTGCATTGCAGTGGCCATTTTGTTTTCGTAACTCTTATTATTTCTGCTACAGCATGTACTATAGTAGTTCAGATGCTTGTGGCCGCTCTGCCTGACTGACACTCAATTTTCAGTTGAACTTCAACTGTTGGAATATTTTACAACACATATTTGCAGCGCACATTATGAATTTAAATTAAATTATTTTGTTTTGCCTGCACTATTTTGAGTGCTTTGATTCGGACAGCCATCAAGGAACGTTCTTGGTTCAATGCATAATCTGTTAATTGGTAATTGTAAACCATTAGTTAACTATCATGCAGAGTTGAGAAACCTGGGGCAAGATTCCCTTAATTACAAGTACAATGACTGAGGTGGCTCAAAACCTAAGTTATTGTTAGCTTTTGATGAATGGAAATCCACAACACGGCCGATTAAATTGAGGATAATGGTCGATGAAAATGTATAAAGATATTTGGTTTCAGATTGGAGTAATTGAGATATGGGTTTTGATTCTTTAACGATAGATTATAAAGCTACTTGCTTAGAAATCAATCCAATAATCTTTTTATTGTCAGTCAAATACTGTTTTGGATATCTTTAATCAAAATTGCAAACATCTATTTTGGGCAATCGAGAAATTATGGCAGATATACACGAGCTGATTGTGACGTGCATAATTTTTTTTACCAGGTGTATTTGCTTTTTGTAAGTATTTTTGCATAATATATGAGACTTGAAAGTTTGTTAAATAATTAAATTTCCTCAGCGATCCATTCACCCTCTCAAAAAGGATGCCATGGCTGCTTATTTTTCACAACATTATGCTGTACTATGTGATCAATATGTTTAAACATCTGGCTCAAGGATGGGATATTTATTTATTTAGTTTTATTTTCAGATACTATTAACTCTCCTGGTCCTGTAAACACGTTCTACTATTTACCTCTGGTGTATGAGGAGCCTGCTGGTTCGGAATCAAATCACAGTTGGCATGAAATTCTTAGGTCTTCCAGCTGGCTCTTTTTCGAGTCCCTGTTCCGCCATCATTTGGCCCTGTTGTTGCCGTTTAATTTGGCCCTCCTGGTTCCCGTAAGAGATTCGCTTTGTCCTGTGGCCCCTAAGTGCTCCCTCTACTCCTCTTTCAGCGCTGCAAGTTGGGCTTCATTAGCTCTTTGGTGCTATTGTCTAACCTGGTGATGTTCGGATGCTTCGCTACGGCCATCTGCCAGCTGGTGATTTTTACCAGCCATGCTGCCAGCCTGCGCCTCCTCACGATTCTGTGCCTGGGCCCCATGTGTCAAATGCTCCTGGTGATGCGCCTCCTGGTCCGCATTTGGGTAAGTTCCCGCCACTGGATGGATCACCTGAGATGTGGCCTTAGCCTCTAATTTTTGGTTTCTCTAGTACAGTATGTGGATTGTTGTTTGAGGAGCATAATTTCGTACCTCAGCCGTCATAATCAGTCTCCGTAGCCCGAAGTTAGTAGCTGCAATCAAAGCAATAAACCAACCAAAGCAACCGGCTGGGTTCACTGGGAAACGCAACCGAAAATCACTTTCACTCCGCAAACTGCCAAACTGCAGCCATTTATGACAGCCCAGCAGAAAGGAGGGCTGGCCGGCGAACTCCTGGAACGTGTGTGGTACAAGGGCCAAAATCGCATAACTAAATTGTTGCTAAAAAGTTGAACAAATATTGAGGTCAGCAGAATGTCGAGTAGAGTCTCGAGCGGGCAGCATTGTTGCTGGTGCAAACTGTTTGCTAGCCTTTGGCACAAACTTTTGACACGCTCCCCGGCCCCGACGCCAGTCGGACTCGGATCCGGATCCGGAGCCTTTGCCGTGGCCGTTGTCGTCGTCGTAGCCGTGACTCTGAGTCCAGAGTTGAGCTGGGGGGGAGGCTCAATGAAGAGGCTCGCCCTGAACGAAAAATATTCAATGAAAATCGGCAGTCGGGTCTGTCGACTCTTTGTCAATAATACAAAATGGAAAAAATGAGTTGTTGCTGTTCGAGTTTGCATGGTGCAATGCAGACGTCGACGCAGCCCGGGGGTCCGGTTGCGATGCCGTCTGTCCCGACAGCCCACTACCGACAAGAGCATTGCCAAGTTGTGTGTTGTATTTACGTTTTCCTTGGTAATAATTAAATTTCAGGATCTTAAAAGCGATATTCGCAAAAAATGCAACAAGTAGGATTTTAGTCTTGAATCGACATAAACCAAATTATAAAAGCATTAAGAAGGAATCAGGAACTTTAAGCTGGAAACACTTTTCTTGTTAAAACACTATAACCAACAAATGAACTTAAATAAAATATGATACTTTGTATTTCTCTGGTAGCTTCCTCTGATAACTTATTCTTCTTAATCTCATACCTAGTTTCTTGCATACTAATAACCCATCCTGAAAGGATGTTCCCTAAGTTTTTTTCCTCCATTGCACTTTGGGGCACCTATTCATATAGTTAGTTTACCCTCTTGGAATGATGTACTAGAGCTCGGAGAGCCCTCGACGAATCTCAAGTCGAGATATGGCCACACAGTAACCTAACGAGCCACAGGCATCTTCGGGCCCTATCCTTGTGACTATATAGTAATGAGCAACGGTACGGATCCTCGTTTCTCTAAGCATGAGAAATTTAATTTGAAGCCACCCCACATGCACACGCACAGTGCCACATACATAATTGTATATTCACGTAAGAGATATGGTAGCTGAAAGAAGCTCTATCAACTGGAGTGTCTTGGGGCAGGGAAGCCGGGCCGAGCCGGGCCGGGGCGTGCCGGGCATGGCTTGCCTTAAATTAAGATAATGACACGTGAGGTATCGCCTCCCGGGGCTTGGGTGCTTGGTAAATTGCGATAACATAGAAACGACCTGAATGGCGGCTCCCTTTAAAACACTTAACCCTTGACGCCCAAGCCAACCACCGCACGCCCAACCACCATCCCCCTCTACCAATCGAATCCTTAAACCAACGACCCACCCAGGCGATTGCACGCACTTTTAAAGCGCAACTTGATGGAAAACTGCCAAAGAGTTTGACTTCCTTGTTGGCGGTTGGGGCCCTAAAGTGGACATGCCAATGCAGGAAAGGTACACTTTGGGCAAACTGGGAGAGAGCTACTTACTCGGAGGACAAAAAAAGTAATTAGTATTGCCTTCTCCTGGCAAAGGCACATACCAAAGATAAGAGGCAAAGGCCCAGGCGAACGCAAGGGCATAAACATAGCCAAAGTTAGGCCCATGGCAAAGGCTCCAAAGCGTCGCAATTTATGGCCGCAACATCAACTCGAACCCACACATAATAAATCATAACATTTTACAGATAATAGAAAACCTCACACATGTCCAATGAATTGCCTCCCTTAGCTACCAAAAGATATCGGTTTGTTGGCCCGCTAGCTAGAAATTTTAATAAGCCGCAAAGAGTTTCCACTACGAGCAGTAGAGGGAATAAAAATGGTTTCGCATAATTTATGCCGCCTAGGAGACATGAGCACTCTTAAGTTTAAAAGAGCAGGACCAGGTTTTCCAAAAAACCAACAGGCTGGCATTTTTCTATCAAATCTGTCAATATTCAATTTTTGGTTTTTTGGGGAAAAATTTAGTTTGTAGTAGGCTGTGAGGTCGAATTCCTGTCTATATAAGGCGGAATTTGTATCAGTATATTTTTCAACCGGCTATAAGCAAGACGCAAAATTAAAAGTATAGTCTCTGAATTATTTTTTGAAAAAAAAAATATTTAAATTACAGTGACAAGTTTTATATCGAGTGAAAGAAAAATAATAAATATCAACGACTGGTGAGTATGAAAAATAAATTCCCCCAAAAAATATTCCTTTCTTTATAAATTATTAAATTAAATTCAGTAAATTAATATTCAGTACATAATAGTGAAAAAAAATTGTTTATCGAGTGAATTTTTATTAATAAATAGTAAAGACTGAAAAGTCTTGGTGCCGGTGCCAGGCATTTTAATTTATTTATTAATAAATAGTAAAGACTGAAAAGTCTGAAGCACATTGGTGCCGGTGGCAGGCATTCATCTCAGCTTCAAGCAGGGAAAAATATTTGCTTCTAAAAAAAAATCGGTATAAATCTAAATTTAATTTAAAATTTCAACCGTAGTACGGATCGCGTGAGTTTACATATCTCGTCCGGTTAGCGAATTTGCAAAAGCCAATGAACGGTTCCCCCAAAAAATAATCCTTTCTTTGGGATTTGATCGTTCAAAATTTATATTCAGTACACTTTTAAACGTTGAGAAAGCAGTTCCTAAATTAAAAGTGAAAAAAAATTGTTTATCGAGTGAAATTTTATTAATAAATAGTAAAGAGTGAAAAGTCTTGGTGCCGATGCCAGGCATTCATCCCAGCTTTCAACTAGGAATAATTTTTGGATCTATAATAGGAATAATAGGAATAATAAAAAAAATAGGTATAAATCTAAATTTAATTTAAATTTTCAATCGTAGTTCGGATCGGTACAAATTTAAATTTTATTTAAATTTTCAATCGTTGTTTGTATCGGTATAAATCAAAATTTTATTTAAATTTTCAATCGTAGTTCAGATCGGTATAAATCAAAATTTTATTTAAATTTTCAATCGTTATTCGGATCGGTATAAATTTAAATTTTTTATTTTCAATCGTAGTACGGATTGCGTGAGTTTACATATCTTGTGGGGTTAACGAGTTGGCCAAAGCCAATGTACGGTTGCAAAGCATGTTGAGTGAAAGTGTTAGAAGCTTCCTTGGGCAACGCCCTTGGACCGGGCCGCGTGCTTGTCTAGATGTCGGATGGTATTGCCCGCCTATCTAGCCTTAAACTAATGCTGAGGGCAGCCTGACGACAGGCGAGCACCACCTACCACGCCTCCGCCTATTAATGGTGTCATTTACATGCTGCAGCCACATGCAGTTACCAGCAAAGGGCGACGATAAATCATACCGCGATTTTTGTTTCCATCGGAGAAAAGTCGGTAGTTAATCGGTGCTCTTAGTTTTCTTTTGCCGTCGAAATCGTAAATAAATTATACGCCCTGATTGATCAACTTTTCCCCGATGACAACCATAAAGGGGATAGCAAGCGGGGACGCTGCACTGTCATTGTGGCCGAAAATGTCGAGGCAGCCGCTCGTAAACATAAATCCAAGTGACGCTAATTGTTTGTTGCAATTACTGCTGCAGTTGTTGCCACCGTTCAGTTACGTGTGCAGCCAGCGTCGAGGCGACAGACGCTTTGATTTGATTGAATGTTGCTTTAGCAACCTGAGAATTAGAAAATTTAAACTTTTCGAAAATGCAACAATGCATAGCAAAGGGCTCTTAATTTGTATAAGCTCATTTTAATTTTTGTTTTTTTTTTAATTGAAGTAACTTGTCTCTGTAAACATGATGCAGCTGCAAAAGCATGCAATCCCTTATTTCTAGCCCCCTCATTTTGATATTCAGCAGATAATTCCTACTATCGCACTCTTTTTTTTCAGAAAAACTTATACGGCTTTGATACGACTTTATACGGATCTTTTTTACCTTTAACGGATCATCGCTAAACTATGGACAAGAGAATCTTCGACGATTACTTGAACTCGGTGGGATCTGACGAGAGCATCCTGTCCGTGATCGAGCCCTCCACTGAAGGTATTCTGAAAGGGAAGTCTTGCAGGGCCAAGAAAAAGCCTACATGTGCCCGGAAACAGAAGAAGTGCTCGAAGCCTAAGAAGACGTGCAAGTCAAAACCTAAGAAAACCTGCAAGCCCGGTCCTATTATGAATAATGGATACCTTAACTTCGTGCGTGCCTACCGGGAAAAACACAGTTCCATGAAGCCACAGGAGCTGATTAGAAGGGCGGCCAGAGCCTGGTGCCGTTTATCCGAGGAAAAAAAAAATATATACCGGCGCATGGTGAGTTTTTTGCATTATGTTATTTACTATCCTGTAACTAATCTTCTGAAATCCCGCAGGCTTGCAAAGTTACAACTAGTGAAAGACATAAAAGACGCCAAGTGTGCAATCCTGAAAAATGCGAGAAATCTTAGGTGGCTCATCTAAGTCTTCTTCAATCAATCCCCGTCTTCTGGCCCCTGATAATTTTGATGTGCTATTGGTGGCTCATCTAAGTCGTCTTCAATCAATCCCTGTCTTCTGCCCTCGGCTAATTTTGATCTGAAAAATTAAGGTTTAGGTTTCCAAAACAGTCTATATTATTAATAAAAAATAATAAATCGGACAGAGATAATTTCAGTTCCTATTGTATTTAAGAGAGAACTGCTAATAAGCGCCTGCTAGTCTTAGTTTTAGATTTTTAGTTTTAGATTTAAGTTTCTATTCTATTTTTTAAATGGACGGTCGTGTTATTATAGCTTTGCTTTACGTTCTGATTACTTGCAGTCTGACTTCTGCATGAATTATATGTGAGTTAATTTATTTTGAAGAGTTTTTGAAAAATTAAAATAAATTCTTCTATAAAGGGACCAATAAGTGGCCTAAAACAGATGACTTCATGGACCATGTTGAAAGAAAAATAGGATTAGTCTATGGGAGTATTTTTTAACAAATCACCAAGAAAAATGTGTTCATCCCAAGGGTTATGATCTGAAAATGAAAGCGTAGGTTTCCAAACAGTCCGTAATATCAATACAGTAAAAATTCACTTTCGGTCAATTTAAGTTTTGATAATGGGAGAAAAGGGTACAAAAAAATATTCGCAAGAGCATGCTCGATGTTTCTCTTATTCGGACAGAGATTATTTAATTATTATAATAGTACTTCGCATACCGCCGCGGATAGCAAGCTTTTTTTTTTTTTTTTTTAAGAGTCTAACAATAAGGTTGCAAATCTTAAAATAATACAATATCTAACAGTTTGTTTTGAACTGAATAGAGACTACGTGGTCCTAATAATTGGCGCTGGATTGGGAGGTCGTTGCGGCGAAGAGGAGAACTGCTGGAAACTCGCGTGAGGGCTCTCGCGAGATGATTTGGATGTACTGATAGCCTGTTGTAGTACTTTGTTTTGATTTGTGCTATTTCTTCTCTGACGAGTGGTATGTGAAGGTCCCTGTGGATGTTTTCATTCCGAACGTACCACGGGGCCCCGGTGATGCTTCTGAGAATTTTTGACTGAGTTCGTTGCATTATATCCACACTGCTGTTGCTGGCATTCCCCCACAACTGGGAGCCGTACATCCAGATTGGTTTCAAGACGGTGTTATAGAGGAGTACCTTGTAGTCCAAGCTAAGGGGCGAACGGCTATTGATAAGCCAGTGGAGGCTGTTGGCTTTGAGCTTTAAATGCGTTCTTTTGGCTTCAATGTGGCTGC